GAGGTAAACAAGTGTCAAACTCTTGAGGCCTATAAACAGGTTTCCATAAGAGGGGGAAGGGGGTTTCCTATCAGAGCTGTTAGGCCTACAGGGTCCTCCGCTGAAGCTGAAGCATTCAAGCATATGTTTGGTGAACTTCATCATTTGATGTTTTTTAATCCAAAGGGAGGAGGGAACCTATGCAGTGGCAGTGCCAGCAGGGGGAAGGGGGGCTAAGTACCCCACTGGACAGGTCAACTCTCCCGCCAGACAGAGTTCGTCGGGCAGTCAGACCATAAAACATATAAAAATAGGCCCACACCAAGCCAACACATGTCTGTCACAGTCCAAGAGTGCCTTTTTCGGCCATCCGGAGGTTGATATTCTTTAAAAAAAATCTTGGAGAGGGAACCCCCTCTCAACCCCTTCCCCGAGCTTCAGCCTACGAGCTCAACTCCCCCTGTCAAACATCTTATCCCCCTCGCCAGAAAATATATCCTAGAGCCGCCACTGAACCTATGCCAAGCATATCTATGCCTTTTTCTTTCTCTGCTCCTAAACTCTGGAACTCTCTGCCTCCTCAATTACGTATCATTTCTGATCCGCAATTATTCAAATCTACTCTTAAATCATTCCTCTTCAAATAGTTCAACTTCTTTCTAACATCCTCCAGCGCCGGTGACAAGCCAGTTTTGTTTGCTTTAATAGGCGCTTTAAAAATGTGTATTATTATTATTATTATTATATCAGTCTAACTTTTAAAGAGACGGCTAGAAAACACATAATGTATTTAAAAACTATTTAATTTGGAATTAATTTTTTTTTTTTCGCAGTTGCATGATCAGTATGAGAAATTGAAGAAGCAACATGCAGAAGAGAAGAAAAAGTTGGAGGACAGTAAAAGAGAATTAGAGGAGGAAATTAACCAGTTCAACAAACAGAAGCAGATACATGCTGAAGAATTGGCTGCCCAAACCACTACACTGAAGGGCAAGAAAAAGTAAACCACCAACATCGATAAACTGTCCTTCTGTGCAACATTAACAATATCTCACTCTTGGAAATAAGAGAGCATAGCCCTAAACCAGTTAGAACTGGTCACAGCCCAATCTAATTTGTTCTCACCGGTTTGAAATGGTTGTCTCCAAATCTAGATTGTTCTCACTATTTTTCACCAAATCCAGTCTGTTCCATCCAACCATTTTCTCCTTTGGTTTGTATTTTTATAATTATTGCTATCATTGTTTTGTATTATAAAGACATGTTCAAACATGTCTAATTTTTATTTTTTGTAATGTCAAATTCAATTATATAGTTTGCATTATATATACAATTGACTGGTTAACATTCAGGTATTTTAGCTTCTATATTTTTGCACCTTCCTCAATAAACATTGTTGAAAGGCGTTGTAATAAAATCATTATGGGTACCGGGTAGTGTACTGTTACATAACCTTTGAGGGTTAGTTAAAAAAACGAATACAACAATTATAGGACATTATAGGACATTATATTTAATAATATCATTAAGAAGGGGTGTAACATGCTGGGGTGTGGAGAGGAGGTACAATCTTGTATTATCCCCTAAATATATAACAGGTAATTAACATCCATATATTTTAAAATCAAAATTATTTATTTAGCCAACTTTTATTTATCCAAAAACAGTAATATGTGTGTTATTTGATTGATAATAATGTAGCACTTCCTGAGCTAAAAATTAAAGTTAAATTTAGAATTTTGTAAATAGAGGACCACAACAATTACCTGACTTTACCAAACCTGTTTTTTGTAGTTTTTGAACAGTCATTTTTCATCTCTAAGTAATTCCACTACTTTTTCCCGATGTGGACAGCTGCGTTTCTTCCTATCCTTTATAGCAATGTGTGTAGTTTGTATATTCATAATAGTTAAAGCTTTGATTTTTGCTTCCTTGGAAATGTAGCTGATAATTTCCTCCTATTTAGTGTTTGTATAATTAGCTAATTAGGTGTGAACTTTGGCTTTAGTAAGTGCTCAGTTTTGTGTAAAATTTACAAAAACAAAAACCAAGTGATTGTCAAACATTCATGACATCACAAATTGTTTTATGACATCACAGTTATGTTTGATGATATCATTATGCTTGGTGACATCATAGTTATGCATCAAATTAGATGATATCACAGCTATCATTTTTTTTTAAATTTCCTTGGTGCCAAATATTTTTGAATGCAAATTGGTTAACATATTTATTATCTCTGATGATATGAAATTACATCAGTCATCATGTCTGATGACACCACAGTCTCATTTGTTATTTTATCATAGTATCATAGTTACAGTACGTTTGATGAAATCAGTTATGATTATTTTCTTTAAAATGCAAAAAAATATATATATAAATAGCATTAGATGATTAAACAACATTTTTCAACAGATACAATATTTATTACTAGAATGATTCTCAGTTATTCTTACTCTTAAGTAATTTTAATTTAATATATTTAAATTTGTATGTAATAAGCTAACAACTAATTATTATTTTAGCAAAAAAAAAAGTCAACTGAAGTAGATTAAAATAAAATGCAACTGCAAAAAAAAAAAAGCAGAATAAGTTTAATGCTAATTTGTATAAGTATGTACTTTGTTTTAACTGGACATATATTAACTAAATATTGTCTATATTTATTATTAAAATGTACTGTACTGTATATGCATTACTACATCTGTCCTTCAAACTAATTTGTCATAAAAATCTTTATTAAAAACACTTTTATAAACATTTGAACATGCATTGGAAATTATTGTCCGCCATCCAAAAAATTTCAGGTAGTCTTAAGCGCTTTTAGTAGATGTGTTATGTAAATCGTTATTTCTAATAAAATATAGCCCATCATTCCTTGTGCTGTGTTTATTAATATGTTTGTCTACCATACGAGGCACGTTCATCTAGATTAAAACTTGAAGACGGTAAAAAGAGAGGCGACCTCATATAAACATTATAAAACAGATAGACAAAACCAAGCCTACGAAAAAACAAGAGGGCATTCTTACGAGATGAAGAAAGAAAAAACAAAATTGGACAGTAGAAATACTTAAGCCAGAAAACAAACTACCACAGAGTGCAGTATCTGCTTCAAGTGCACTCAGCTCTGGGGTGGATCCAGTAGGGTTTTGCCACTAAATTTTAAAAAATTTCAATGCATATTAATGTTAAGTGCTACTCACTTATCTATTCTGGAACTGTTTTGTTCCCCCCCCCCCCCACCTCCCATCCCACCTGTTTAAAGAAATCCGCCAATGCAGCTTCAAAGAAAAATAAACACATGGGTTTTAATGGGTCAAATTGTCCTCCCCACCCAACCCTTTCACACTATCGTAAATGAAGATGGACTGTGGCAATTCAAAGTAAATATAGTGTATAATCCAGCATTAGAAAGGTATGTTTTTTATCAGAGCTTTTATTTCTACTTGTTTCTTTATCTAGGGCCTCGCTCAGAGTGCTGGAGAACAGAGCAGCGGCACTGGTTCCTTCCGCTGTCTTCATTTTATCTCTTCGGTTGTTTCCATTTTTTAGTTTTTGGACATTGTCTTTATTCTTTTAAATAGTGACTGTTGTAATGCGCTTAACAAATACACTGCTATTACCATTTTCATTCTAATTAATTAAATTTAAATTAATTTATTGACTGGATGATGAGAAAAACTACGAGAATGATCTTGATTTTGCAAAAGACAATGCTATTATCTTCCAGTTAGTCACAGATACAAGGAAAAAGCGATAAAATATTAGGGCTGAGAAAGTAGAATAGATGATCAACAATAGGAAGACCAAGATTCTGAGATTACAGGAGCAGATCCAGAGATGTCTAAAAGTGGGAGGAGGGAAATACTATACTAGGGGGTTTGGGGGCATGCCTCTGTGAATTTGTTGCGTTATAAATGCCCGAAAATAACCTCTAGGGCGTTTTGGGCGATCAATTTATTCTTTTTCTTTCTTTCCTTTTTTTTACCTTCCAAAAGGGGGATAGGGCCGGCCCGGCCCCACCATCCTAAATCTAACCCTGGATTAAACAGTAAATGTACGATGAAATTACAATGAATGAATAAAGTAATTTACGAATATAAATTACAAAATGTGCATTGCTGAATAGCACCTACACGGGACACCTATATGCTTTACATTTAACAGATTTTTCAAAGTTATATGTATGTTTTTCTGTTCTTTTTATTTTATTGTCAATATTGTGTCAATTCAGTGTTTGCACTGCAACAACAACATAAATAAAACATGAACTAATAACAATGCTATGCTAAATTGCATGATGTTTGCAGCAAAAGGCCCTTAGATTGGAAGGTGAGCATCTTAACCACCAACCTACAGCTTCTCTCAATATCTAAATATCACCTTATATTAAAATAAAAAGGAATTGTAGTATAACTAAAAACAAAACATTAGATTTGAATCTGCTAGCATTTATTGAGCATACATATAACAATACTGTACCTAATATTTTATTGAGAATTTGCAATGAAATTTAGCATTTGTTAAAATCTATTGCAATTTACACATCAAGATAGTACACTGCACTTAACAGCAAATGTGTTGCACTATGATAATAGTAATAGTATCCAAGATTTATACCTATAGAAGTACAGGAATTTTCACATATGCCATTATGTCAAAATATTTTCACAGTGTATAAAATAAACACAATACTGTACTATTTTCCTAAATATACAAATAAATATATAGCTATAAAATATGAATAATATGATATATACATCTTTTTTTAGAATTGCTACCTCAAATAGCACAAGGCTATACAAGAACAGGTTTTTGGTTGATCAAACAATTTCAACTGGTTTCAAAAATCGTGTTTATTTAGTTGTTATTCTTTCTTTTAAATAAACCACTACAGTATTTACATTTCTAGGACGTTTCTACTGGCCATCAGCCAGATCATCGGCTGTGACATTTCAGATAGTTGTTGTATGGTGGAGTGAATACAGCTTGCCGAGCCTGATGTCATCCAAGCAAGATTCTAACGGTGGTGGGGCTCGGCCTGCTGGATTTGAGGACATCATCATCATAGATGTGGGATAGTCGGTGAGCACTTTCATCTCTGTTCATGTTTTGATCTTGAGCTTTTCTTATTCATATTGCTTTTGTTTCTTTTTCAAGGATCTTTGAGTTTTCAGGGATGTGGTGTTTTTTACCATATGATCAGTAATTGCAGATTTGGAAAGATAAATAAATACTTATTCATTCAAAAAAGAATAACAATTTGTGAGTTTGTTAATATTTTAGGAGGGAGCTTTTGATTTGCGAAACAACGCAACACAAAAGCAAATTCATTCATGCATGACCGTCCTACGTTCTCTGTACAATGTAGATTTGGTCAAATTGCATCCTAGAATCCATGTGACGAGGAGAACTTAACATCCTCACATGAGCATATGACTTATTAGTGACATCATTACATTCTGTGTCCTACCATCATCATGGAATCTTTATTGTTTTTAGTCTCGAGAAAAATTCCTGGATTCAGGATTTCAACCCATGACTCAAATATTCAGAGGCAAGTACCTTGACCACTGAACCACAACTACACTTCATTTACAGAAAAATTAACTAATAAAATGGATGAATTTTGTTGTTCAGTTGCCACCTGTGTTGAAAAATTCCATTAGATTTTCAACCTCGTAATTGTCCAGGACCTGCAGAAGCTGAGGGACCTTTGACTTGACATTTGACCCCTTGAACTTGAATTTATCAATGAATAAATCTGTGATCATACCTAAGAAATTTAAAACAAAAATCAAAATTATAATCTATGATAATATTAATAATTATTATCACTTGAATACAGCTTTTATTTAAAATATCAATATGTTAACAACATGATGTAATACAAGTACATTTAGATTATAAAGATAGATCGACTTTAAACATCTGTTAATAAAGGTCATTGCATTTGAATAAACAAAGATAGTGAATGAAAAAAAAGTAAGATTTATAAAGTGCACATATCCAATGCAGTAGTGCTCAAGACACTAAATTGAATGAATTAAATAAGCGCGTGGTGATGTCATAACTTACCGTACAGCCTCTCAAGTCGGCAGGGCTGCTTTTTGTATTCCTGTTGAAGTTTGTCCGTATCTTCCAGAATTTGTCGATACTCCGGTGACATAAACGATAAGTCTTCCTCATGGATTTGCAGTTCCTATAAAAATTATGGAATGGTATCACAATCTTCTGAACCACCTAGCCACATTTCCACTACATATCTGTAGGCAGTATTAATATTTGTACTAAAAAAAAACTGTTCATATTGGATTTAAATAGAAAATTACCCAGCTGCCCCAGAAGCTAAGACCAACAAAAATGTTTCAATGGTTACAGCAGATGTTGTCTGCTGCCTTCTAACAAGTTGCAAAAAAACTCTACCTTCAGGGCCTCAATGAGTTGAAACTTCTTGGCCAATAGGAGATGGTACTCAAGCTTAGGGTGGATCCTCCAGAGCGTTGCAGGAATGGTCTCATCGACGACCTCATACGAGATGTTTAGGTTTATCTTCCTCTTCGTTGCTTCTTTAGTAAGCACGTCCTTCATTATTGAAATTGTTGAAATGTTATCCGACCGGAAAATTCCCTCACCCTTCCTGTAAATAAAGATCAATGTCAAGATAGTTATTTAGACTGTAAGCTCTGATTTAAAAAAAAAATAGCATGAATAATTTGAGTCTCAATTTAGAAAATGTATGAAATTTCAGTTCTATAATTCTATTGTACTAGGAATTCAAATTGTCTCAATGTTATTATCATTGTTTTTTTGTTATTACAATTAATAGCACTGTCAATGTCGTTATTATCATTATCAATATATTATTACTTTAGAGAAGGAATTTAGCAGATAAATCGTAGTGTATCCACCTCCATTACAGAATGTAAGTCAATGCTTACTTATACAAACAGTCCAACTGTGTTTCCAGGAATGTAGACATAAAATGGAAATTGATGCTGTCGCCTGGTGGCGTCCTTTCAGGAATCTCCGGCAGACACTGGTTCACCCAAGAGTGTATCTCCGCTAAGCTGAACTGTCCTGTTAGCTTTAGAGTATTCATGGGCCTGAAAATTCAACACAAGAAAGAATCATTCTCGTATTATGTTTAGTTAACGTTTCTTCGGTTCAACCCCAACCAATCCTCTTTAGCTTATGGTAAAGGTGATATAATTGTAAAGCGCATAATAAAAAATTGTCTCTATACACCACTGCCCAAGTGCACAAAAAAAGGAAGAAAACAAAAACAAAACAAAAGGAATAAAGTCGAGAATTAAAATGAGAAAAGATGGGATTTGAGCCAAGAGTTGAAGACAGTCAAAGATGGAGGGTCACATAGTCTCAAGAAGTTAATTCCAAAGCTGAGGCGCAGCAACAAAAATGGAACAATCACACAAGATGACCAAGAAGACAGTAAAGAATGGAAGATGAGATAGACCTACGGGTGAGAGTGAAAACAGCAGAACATAGTGAAATTATATTGGAGATGTAGTGAGAGGATGAATTTTGGAGTGACTTGAATACAAATAGCAAGATCTTACCTAGTTTCGTCCAAGTTGTGTATCCGTTGATGTAATGACAATGGCTTGATCAGGTACTGTCGCACCTGGCACACCTTTGGTTGGACACGTGGAGTCACGTACGCCTGTAGGACACCATACTGACCTTCAATCGACCTCACTTTCAACTCTAACCTTGTTGTATTTGCTTGACATCTATATGTTGCCAATAAGAAGTTGCCATTCTATGAAAGAAGAAATAACAAATCATCAGTTCGTTATATTTTTATTATTTGTGAATAAAAAATATTGATAGGACCTTGCCACTGAAAATAAGTCTTCTGAATTTTGTGGGCCGTCATTGGTCGTTACTACATCCAATAATAACAACTTACCTCGGTGTCACAAGCACTGTAGCTGATGACCGCGGAATTCCTCTCAACGTCAAGCAGATCGATCGGAACGTCGCTCTGTAGCAGAACATTATCAATAGCCACTTGGACCTCAATGCTCAGGTTGTAGCTAGCGTCATCTCGGTTTAATGTGAAGTGATCATTGATGTTGAATTGTGGGAGTGCCGATATTCCGTCCTTTTTCGTCAAGGCTGCCTGCTGGTAAGCCTCACGTTCATGAAGTACTTTGCGTTGCAAATCTTCCATCTCTTGTCTTGAAAATCAAAGAATACAATTAAATTCTATATAGATAATAGATCTATAATTAACATAATTACTAATCGATCTGTTTATCTACTTACGTTTTATGTTATACAATTATTAACTGGGTTTATTTTTTATATATTTATTTATTATTTTATAATAATTGCGCTTTTAAGTGTTACATTTCATGATGTCTTAAAAATAAAAAGTGTACCTACTTCAGTATTGTAATCTTCGTTTGTGATTCTTCACTTATTGTGACCTTTTGACCTGACCCCAGTGCTTTATGTTGAGGCTCAGTTGTCAGGCCCTGAATCCAGCCTGGGGGTTAAAACAAAACATCCTTATTCATACACATATTAAATATGGGAAAAAAACATGGGTAACAAGTAAGTTAATTTAGCAACAGCGCTGATTGGTTGTAATCATTACCAGCATAAGTACAGCAGACGACCTCATCATGACCTCCAGATCCCACAATGCCTCCTTGTATTGAGCTAACACTTTCACTCAATGTCTAAAAAAATAAAACAAATATCACACTATAGAGACTTTTAAACAACAAATTGAATGTCCATATTATGTCATAACATGGATAATGGTAATATTACAAGGTAAGTTTCTTTAAGTATATTCTTTTAAATGATTGATAAGGAAGCAAAACAGACATAAAATATGTGAATCTCAACTAAAAAGTTATCGTTAAGTCAAAGGTGAGAAAACAAACAACAAAGTTAATTTTGGGTCAGGAAGACAGAAGAGTATACAGTAACTTTCAAGAGTTAAAAGATGAAACTACTTGTTCCATCACAGCAAATCAGTACAGTGGAGAGAGTGTTCAAGAGGTTTTTAACAAGGCATGATTTGTTCAATGCAGAAGTGAAAATGTCGCAATAGTGCAATATTCCCGTACCTGACTGAATTTCAACGTTGGTTCGTCTGTCTCATCGTACGCATACACCTCTACCAGACCATCATCTCGACCAATCAGAATATCAGGAATACCATCGGCTGTGATGTCATAATTGTCAATACACAGAATACCACCACTACGTTTTTCATTTGGAACTTCCCATTTATGAATTGGATTTTCCCTGTAATCGAGATAAAATAATTCAGGTTTTATATATTCTTTCTCACAATCTCTGCTGTTACGGTTTATAATATTACTATTATTATAAACATTATCATTGCTATTATTGATAGGATAATATTAGTTCATCTAAACCATCTGAATACAATATGCGGTATTTTTAGACCAAGAGGTGACTTAATCTAGGAGTTACCAACTAAATCTAAGATTTTACTATACCCAAATATTAAGATCTTATGCTTATGAAAATCTAGACCGTAACCTATTAATTGTCAAGATTAATGTAGATTAAGCAGATGACTCTTGGTGATCTCAAACAATTGGTTTCCTACCATACAGACCATATGATAAGCTGGATACAGATGTTGGTATCAGGGAACCTAGAGGGGTGTATTCACATGACCAGCCTACAAGTAGGTTGGCCTAGGGCATAGACTTGATGCAGTTCCTGGTGATATATATCATTGGGTATGATTGACTTAGTACTCTATCATACTACAATTAGGCTCCTTACTCCAAGGAGTATTAGAAAGAAGTCATGTAGAATTTGATCTTACTAAGTCAGCCATAACATTAATACTGGGACTCTCTATAGCCTATGCACTACTGATTCTAGCAGGTGATGTAGAGATCAACCCTGGCCCTGAAATGCATGGACAAAAAAAGAGCAGAAAAAAATTACCCTAAATGATACTATGTCACAACTGAACAAGATGAATGAAAAATTGAATGGACAAATTGACAAAGTGTATGAAGACATAACGTCTTTACACATAAAGTTTGACAATGTATTATTGAGTATTAACCCTCTGTTAATGCAAGGCTGAACACACTAGAAGGGTCAAACCAGGTATTAAAATCCCAGAATATGGAACTGAAACAACAGAATTATCAACTTGAAGCTAAAAGTCGCCGTAGTAATCTTTTGACGTAAAGGAGAATAACAATTAATCGTGGGAGGCATATGAGGCTAGCGTTATTAATCTAAAAAATGGGGATAAACTCTGATGATATTGGAATTTATCGAGCACATCAAGACCAATAAGAAACCTAACCCTATTACCATTAAGTTTGCAAGATATAAGGATAAAAAGAAAGTGCTTAAAGAGTATAGGGACTTAAAAAGAGAAACACACAGTAACGGAGAGTAAAGATAAAACAGGTATCACTTCCCTCAAGTATAAGTGAAGACTTTACAAAAAGAGTAAGAACAATACATTATAAGCTAAAACCTGAGCTTGAAGAAGTCATTAGAGCAAACCGGAAAGTTAACCTACTATATGATAAGCTTATTGTTGATGGTACTGCTTATACCTATTTGTTTGAGAGTGATGAGGTAAGCCAAGTATAGGGATCAGACCGAGGTCTGCAAGCAGATAGCAAACTCCATCTTAAAATTAAGAATAAAAATGGCAACCCAAATATTATGACATGGAAAGTGACTGGTTTGAAATTCAAGTTGGAAGATGATAAAGCCATATGGTTACGTAAATCATTTGACATGGTTGCTTTTATTGAAACATGGTCACCAGCGGATAGCAAATTTAAAAATGCATTTTCTGATTATGAATTTTTTTTTTCTTTTTTTCAACATAAAAAAGAAAGTAAAAGAGGCGTTACAGTTCTAATTTCTCAGCACTATCAAAATGCTTGAAATAATTTATGAATGATGCTAAGATGCTATGTATCTTGATCAAAGTAATAGCAACTATGACATTGAAAGAAATATTTTAATTGCTTTGTTTATATTACATTTGAAAATGCCACAATTTATGACAACAATGAGTATGAACCTTGGAAACAATTAGAAGATTTCCTAGTTAAGGCTAAACATGAATTAAATTACCCTTATATTATTCTCTTAGGGGACATGAATAGTCGTACCGCTAATTTCGGAAACATCATTGAAAATTATATCAACAAGTTTGTTCCCGGTCTGATCTATTGTCAAATTGATGATGATATGACATATCGAAGAGTACCTTACAACATTTCTAATTATTTTGGTTGAAAAACCTAAGTGAATTTTGTATCAGATCCAACTTGTGATTTTTTAATTGACGTCAAAAAGGCAACATTAACAGAGAATTTACATTTATCTCCAACCAAGCAACAACAAGTGTAGCAGACTAGGCCATTACATCATGTGAGTTACTTAAATATATTAATGAACTCCCTGCCATACTATATCCAGAAACTGGACAAATTATGCCTATTAACCTAACAGTTAATGTTACCAAAGACAACTAGTTGAAGAAAAATGGGAAACAAAAATATGGTAGTTGCTTCATATTTCCTAAGTTCAAATGGGATGAAAATAGAGAAGAAATGTTTAAATTAGCAATCAAAAAATTATTAGATACAAATATTAATAACACCTTTACCGATGATGCAGATGTAGATGAATTTAAATATGAATTTTGTGAAATACTGTGGACAGCAGGTGATCAATGAATGAAACGTAAAAATCGTACAAACTTACCTGACGCTATACCTATTCGACAAAATAATCAAAGAAGGATAAGTCTGTGGTCTGACAAAGATTGTGAATAATTTTATAGTAGGAAGTCTCGGGCTTTGCACATGTTTAGAGTGAGTAATGATAAACATGACTTAAACACGTTATTATACACAAGAAATACAAGGTCTTGTGCAGGATTATTGTGTAATTTTATAGCAAAAAATATTCCAATATTAAAAATGTTAAAACTCAAAGGGATTTATCTAGGTTTGCTTATGTTTGTCTATCAAAGAGGGCTGCCCTCTCTTAACTGTTTTATGATGGCATTTTTCTATGGGACAGTGGCCTAAAGAGTTGAATAAAGTCAGGTGCTGTTGACCAAAACGAAACGTGTAGACTGACCTTTCTATTTCAACAAGTCCAACTTTACCATCTGATGTACCATACAGGATCTCATTTCCATTTTCACCTCCGTCTCTACCGAACAGCGCCATCGTTTGTGGTGGCCCGGCAACTTCCACCTCATACAGCAATTCGGAACCATCAATGACTCGCAGTACCCTATCCTGGCAGGCGAGAATCGGGGTCACGTTTGGGACTTTCTTTAAAGGGAGGCAGGTGACATCATTGATGCGATCACTCGACAGGAAGTAGTTCTCGTCCTTGCAATCTACGTAATGGTTGAAGATGTAGCTACCACCAAGGAAAAGATGACTACCACTTACCCACCTGGAGGGAAGAAGAGAGATACTTTGTCTATCAATGCAATTAACTACTTCTTCTGGTTCAGTGGTTACATACTAAAGTGTCTGCTGTTTCTTGTGGTGATTGGTATGTACCTTGGGAGTCAATTCCATTTTCTGTATGGGGATGTTTTTTTTTATATGTATAGCTCTGGCCAGACTATCAAATTTCATTTGAAAAAACATGTGACATGCCTAAATATGGTCATGATGACATCACATCATGACCATATATAGGCACATCATGACTATATATGGGCATACAACGTTGCCAAAGAAAATCTGATAGTCTGGAGCAAGGTTAACCCTTACGACTCCACTCAACTGACTTTCAGTAACAATGCATCCAATTATGGCAGAAAAATTACCAAATCAAATTTGTTTAACAATTGCTTATTATTTTGAACCACAAACCTTTAATTGTTTACTGTGTGTTGAAACCAACTTACATTGTTTTTATACTTTCTGTCAGGTTAGTATCAAATCCCAAGAATTGTTTTCCTTTCTTCGTAAAGCCCTTCACTTCTGATCCGCATGTGATGAAGATCTTCTCCTGGATGGAATCCAGGGGGCCACCAAGTTCCAATCTAGTTATCTTTGGCCCAGGAAGTGTCTTGAAATTTTGCTAAAATATAGGCAAGAAGAATAAATGTCAGTTTGTTTCAACTTTACTCGTCGCAAGCACTCAGTACGATAACACATCAGGTAGGGCAAACATCATTAAACAAACTTCATATTATTTCTCCTGACAAAAAATTGCCTGACAAAAACAAAGCATTGCAGTACCCGATGCTAATTGGGGATCAGACTCATCAAAAATCACCAAGCGCAAGCTCGTGGTCAAGTGGTTAAGGCATCAGGCTAGTTATCTGGAGGTCATCGGTTCGATTCTGTCCCGAATCACTTGCGAGATTTCTTTCTGCAAGCATTTGGGAATGCACTGAGCATTCAGTATGATAACATGTCAGGTAGGGCAAACATCATCCTTATTATCCATATAAATTTGTCTTATGAAAATGACGGTAGTACTAGTATTGCAGTATTATTATTATTATTATTATTATTATTATTATTGGTACATTCTTTGAGATCATAATGAACAAATATCTATGTGAAAGACAAATTTCTTATCTTTTTTAATGTAAAACAAGATGATTATTTGTTGTACATGTTCATATTGTTAGATTTGAATAGAATATTACATGGCAACGTCAAAGTAATCACACGTGACTGTTACTTAGCAACTAGTGGTCAACCCAGATATAGATGCCATTTTATGGTAGGTTACTTTTAGAGCAAGGGCCACAGTATTAAGTGCCAATTAAAAAACCTTTTATTGGAATATAATACTCACCACAATTTCTCCTTTCTTTACTCCAAAGCAATGTAACATTCCTTCTTGATCCCCAACCGCCACTTTTTGTGCTGCTTTAGCTTTTTTCTCGGGTAGCAGACACATTGTCCGTGGACATGTCACGCCAACCTACAAAAATATTTATTAGTATGTTACATATTTTGGAAGTTTTAAAATTATTTACAGGGTGTTTGATGTTTTTAAAGTCAATTTGATTGTATATATGTGTACTACTGACAATCAAGTAACCAGCAGGCTTAATGATAATTGGTGGATCTAGAAATTTGAAATAAAGGGGGACCAGGGAAGGACTTTCACAGATGGATCGTACTACTGTAGACCACCTTAGTTCCACCATGGTTAGGACTGAGATAATGAATTTTATGAGTATGGTACTTCTAGATGACCGGAAGTGGCACTCTAAAGGCCAACTCAGACAGCGTCGTATGATGCAGCCCGACACGATTCATTGTCGGGGACAGTCTTGAGCCGTCGTGAGAAATACTAAACATTTTTAATATTCTACGACCAAACTGCCCCCGACGCAAACCATCGCGTCTGCGTTTAACTCAAACAGACCCGACGCGATAACAAATCGCGTCAAGCTGCGTCGTACGACGCTGTCTGAGTTGGCCTTTAAACTTAAATTTGAATATAATTTTCTTTTTTCTCCCTTTTCTCTATAATGGTGTGTGCCTGGCTATCTGCACCCCTTGAATCCACTCCTGATGATAATGTCATGTAGATATGGTCATGATGACATCACATCTTGACCATACATATGTACATCATTCATGCCTATATATAGGCACACAACATTAATTTACCTGTAGGTAGTCCACTCGTGTTAAGTTGAGCTCCATTGTGAAGTAATTTTCTGTTATCGTCCAATTCTGTTAATCTGCTTCTAGGAGCTATACAATTCACTTCATTTCTTCAATAAGACAAATAAAAACAAACTATTAATGCTATTTGACTTGAACAGATACTTCGCAACTTGTTATTCAGGAAACACACGAATGCTAGAGTGTTGGTTAAAAGAAGTAGATAAAAAAGTAAGTAAATAAGACCTAATTTGTTTGTCACATTATGTACCTCACTTTATGTACCTCCTGGTTAATTTTTCCTTGTAGCACATTCAGGAGGAAACAAACCAAGTACCAAGTAGTCAGTAAGAATCAAATCATTTTCTTTAGGAAGTGGATTGAACCAGTAAAACATCTAATTGTTTATTCAACACCATTTTAGTGAATAGTGAAGACTACTGCATAATGCTTTAGTGATGAATAGCGATGAAAACACATTTCAACAGAAAAAAATTAGGCCTACAGTAATCAGTATCAAAAAGTGCAAATAGATTAAAATGTGTATGAGCTAGGCCTACCCTTGCACAGTTTGCAAATTCTCCACACGTTTTAAAACTGTGCAAAAATCTCTTTGCACAGCTTGCAAACTGCACAGAATCATGCACAGTTTTCAAATTGTGCAAAGAAATCCTTGCACAGTTTGCAAATTGTGCGAGTACATAATAGCTTGTTGCGCATTTTGCAAATTGTACATACAAACATCTCAAATTGTGCACGACAAATATACACACTCAACCGAGGGGCCTAGAATAGAATCTAGACCTAGATTCTTTATGCTTAACTACTATAATAACTAAGCTTAGGCACAGCTCTAACTAGGCCTAGGCCTTAGGTATAGGGCCTAGGGCCTAATTGCACTCCGACCAAACTCATCAGAGAGAGGAGTAGGCCTATGCCCTAACTAGCCTAGCAAGGCTAGGCCTAGGCCTTACCCCAGATTCATTAGCCTAATCTAAATGTAATAAATAAACGATATTTAAGTTTCGCCTAAGATTATTTATAGCTTAAATACTTAATATGTACCTTTAACTTACCCTATATATAAGTAAACTAGTCTTTAATTCAGTATTAAATCTTGAAACCCATTATCTGTTGCGGAGCGACAGTAAACTATTTTTCATTTATTAAATAACGCCCTCTAAAGAATTCTATAAATTTTCGTTCGTTTGTTTGTTGGTTGGATAAAAAATACCGTAAAAGAGGGTGGCAGACTGAAAATACATCAATATCACAACTCGCACTGTTTGCTTGGTTATTACTATTTTCCTTATTATGTTCTTTGAAACGTATTAAAATTATTGTTACATTTAAAAGAATATATAATAGGACAATCGCAAATAGCTTATTGTCAATAAATTAAATAAAAATATTAACATCATGATATTTAAAAAAAAACATGCTTGCTGCCCTAGTTTATTGGAATTGCTTAACGTTTGTGTTAAGACTCTATTAAATTAACATTTTGTTTTTATATGTCTAGTTTTAGGTTTGCTTATTTTTGGTCAAAATCGTTAATTTGGATATACCACCACTGTACGTCCCACCGATCTTAAAGCCCCGTTCCCGGCAAAATTCCATTTTTAAAGAAAAATCTAATTTTTAATATGTTAGAATGTTTTAAAAATATAATACGAAATTGCTAGTTTAACTGGATTTGGACGTTCCTAAACATGAAAGAAAAATGCGATTATAATGAGAAGATTTACCGACCGATTAAAAATCTTAATGGTATTGGGTTTGGACAGGAGTTCGTGCTTCGAACAGGCCATTCCATTATTAAAAGAAACCTTTTGATGGAGAAAGTGTACGTTTTTAGCAAGGTTTGTTCGAAATTAACTCCAGCTATATAAAATTGATTATTAATGAATAGATAAGGATTACTATGTCCATTTTTTATTGATCTAATCTACGTAAATTTACGTTTACAGTTTAATTTAATAATTAGAATTGTTTAAACATTTATATAAAAAAATACAAATATAAAGGAAGTATCATTTATGTTTTATAATAATATTTATAATATTTAAATAAAGCAATAAAGATAAGTAAATAATGTTAAAATTATGTTATTTTTTATTGAAGTCTACAAAAAATAGGAAGAAGGAAGAAAAGCAAGGGGGTATGTATGTAGCATTTTTTATATTTTCATACTGAAAAAATTGAAAATAGAACAATTTTAATGTGGTTTTTTTTAAATTTTCTTTTAATGTGCATGTATTTTTAAAGATATATTTTAAAACTAGAATATCTATGTATATGTAGTTTGATGTGCTAGGCATTTTAACATACTTCTGTAGCAATTTTCACAGTTTTTATACTGAGAATTGTAATGTTTGTAATTTAATTTAAATTCTTAATAACAATCTTCAACATAATACACGTAATTCAACCTAATACACTGAAAAGAACAAATCTTAACTTTATTAACTTGATATGTGATGAGCCTTGCACTAACAAAGAGTGCCGGAAGCTCCTCCCGCGACTACTCGCTAATAATACAAACAAACGACGTAGTACAACCTCAGGAATGTACATACAGTTAGTCACAGATTGCAACACTACTATACAGGTATATATGCTCTGGGGAACTAGAGGGGTGAATGTCTTTAATAGGTGTCATGCAACTATATAGCGTACTTAGACTGGGTTCCAGTCCCTAATCTTTGTCTTAATCAGTTGAAATGATTCTCATCAAAAAAGTTTCTCAACATAAACTGACGCTGGTGGCGCTTTCCGAAATGCGCTAATGCACTACGAAAAATCCAGAGACTTGTGGCAAGTTTACAGTGTACTATGTTAGAACCTCGAAAATATGACCAAGCACTTATAGGAACCCGTTCGGGGAAAGAAGCAGGTAACTTTAAATACCTAAATGTTTATATATATATATATATATGTTTATATATATATATATATATAGCTTAGGTTTATTATCATAGGCTACATGTATTTCCTGGTCAGGTTTAATAAAACCAAAACCAATAGGCCTATTGTCTTATAAGAACGTGGAAAGTTATTAATCAGTGGACCTTCCGGCTATTGTCTTATGGTAAAGTGAAATTACTTATTTGAATTGTAAAATGAAAGGAAAAATTTGAAATATTTCAGTTGTAGTTCATAAATATTAAAATAATTAACATTAAATTTAACTAAACTTCCTTTATTTTATCTAAAAAATATAATCATATATTAAATAATACAGTTTAACATTATGCAAATTATATGCAAGTTGCATGGGAATATGCAAATATAGCCTGTACTTCTTGTCACTTTTTCTCTATATAGATATAGGCTTAATTCTTTTAAATTTTATTATAACCCCATGAATGATGGTTGGGAAAATGGTAACCCACAGGTCTAAAATCAATGGACATCAATTTGTTTATAGTACTGGTATTATATAGTTTGAAAGCAAAAAGAGTGCTTACATGAAACTATCTCGTTACTTCTTACTGGTATAATAAATGGTCAAAAAAGACCTATCTGACGAGATTGAATTATGGCTTTTTTTTCTTATAGAGAAAGTTTTCTGGGTAGACGTACATAAGGACATTTTTTGTTCAGTTTTCCACTTTCAACCAATCGTACTTAAGTCCGATGAGATATCCAACTGTACGAACGAAGAGAACAAAGGCGGTTTCGTGTACGCATGCGTACTAATAAGTACCCTTAACATTAATTCTAGCCAGTCACATTGCTCCACGAAGAACCAGCGTGGGTCCTTATCATTGCTTGTAAAACATTAGTATTATAGTAAGGCCTAGAATAAGGGTCGTTCATTGACTTCCTTGAAGTTTATTTTATTGGTAAGTACTTTGAATCTTATCGACTGTATTTTCTTCGAATATACTTTCTACACTGATCGAAAATAACTCGTAAATTATATATTTTTCATGTGCCTTTGTTACGCCGGTTGGCGGTGACGAGCGTGCAAGCTGGCTGAGGCTAGGCTAGGCCAGGTAGCGAAAGTCATTGCGACAGCGTATGGAAGGTTCTCGTAGCGGTGATTTCTCGAGACAAACGAGGCCACTCCCCCTTCGTCTCAGACTTGCTGAGTGAGGGCTTTTTCCCGTCCATTGTAATTTAGGCATTTAGCCTACGTTTCTAGCTACTGTAGGCGAGCCTAGGCTTAGCTTATGTATGCTTTGAGAAAAAATTAATCTGCAGTAGAATAAAATAAGAACAACATTTTTACTGGGGGAGGTAGGCCTAGAACTGCAGGGTTTTTGTAGGCCTGCCTAGCTACTATGGTCCTAGGCCCCTAGCTAGTCCTAGGCCTATGTCTAGAAAACTAAAGAAGGGTGTGTGGTTAAGCCTTAGAATGGTAATGTGTAATTATTTAGACATTGATTGCTGGGATTGGTCCTGGAAATTCAACACTTTTGCCCAATGTGTTTCGCAGCTTGTGTGCACCGTGTTCCTCAAATTTGTTTTCAAATTAATTTTATTCTAAAATGTTTTATATATAGGCCTACTTAGACATTTTAAAAGGGTAGGTGGATGATCAATTTTACGGGAAAACAGGAAAAGAAAGTGTTTAAATCTTGTTTAAAAATCCTCTGAAATTGTAGACATCATAAATGATAGCTATAATTTCATATGAGTACGGACAAATAAAAAATGATCTGATTCTTTTGCTTTTCTTCGCCAAGATATAGGGCGCGAAATCCCAATTAACAGAGCATCCAAAGAAGAATGGTTTAACTATGGACTTCAAACTGCACGTAGGGTTTTACTATTGGTTTGTTGTTTATGTCCTTGTCTCCCAATACAGTGCTGTGCTGTGGAAGCCAGTCTGTACGTTATTGCTCGTAAACCACCTTCGTAATTGGCGGTTTGTTTGTTCTTCATCATAATGGGTTTATTGTGTCTTTAGGCAATGGTCGCGGTTTAGAAGACAGCATTGGATCTCCAGTCAATTTAACTCCTTGGTGGAACCAACAAAACTTAAATTGTTGACTAAAAAACAGAGTAAAAAACAAAAGATTCATTTCATTCATACTAGTGCAAAATAAGTTGTATGTTTTTTTTAAATATTGTTTATTTCAGAATGAAAATGAAGGTGGTAACTATAGGTATCCTCTTGTTGATGTCGTCATTATTAGTGTCTGCTGATGAAGATGTTGAAGTCAGTACAGAATATACCGCACCTGAGCCAGCCGGTGATACTCACCTCCATCAAGCTTTTGACAATACAGATGTTTTAGGAACAAGGTACTGGTTTTGTTACCGTATTATGACAGCCCATACTGTAAAGTTTTTTAATTGCAAGGAGGATATATCAAAAATCGGTTCAAATTTGCGTGGAAAATTGCCAGGAAAATAGGTACACGGAATTGTAATTGCTGCATAATAGCATTGGTTATATATTAAGATTTCTTCAATGCGCAGTTTTCGGCAAAATCTGCGCAGAAATCTGCCCTTAAACCGAAATGTCCACTGATTAATCTCAGATAAGAAAGTATAATACATACTCCAAGTATTGAAATACACGCCATCGTGTTGGGATTCAATATTTCGACATTAATTATGTCATCATCAGGAATCAGATAAATCTGCCCTTATCTTCCAAAATGCGTGGTCAGATTTATAGGCCAAATTTTTTCTTGGAGGATATATTCCCTGACTTTCTACCGCCAAATCCATCCACTCTCTCTAATAATATGGCACTGTTTTCTGAATTTTTCGTCTTTGATAACAATATGTTGCATCCCTCATTCGTACTTGGAATAGTATTTTCCGAATTTAATTAATGATGATAATGTTTGTTAATAATTTCTAATCGACTTATCAAAGGCTTAAATGTTTAGGGATTTATAACAATAATAACGTAATAATATTAATAATAATAATAATAATGGTCGGCTTCTGTGGCGCATTATGATAATTACTCTATGCGCTTTACATTATCATTACCTCAGTCATTGAATTAAATACAAGTGAAATGCACATCGAGGGATTGGAACCCTGACATCGAGGTTAGGAAACCAAAATGTTCCTGCTGCGCCAAACCACTTCTTGTTTGATTTCTATAGTGCTTCATGTCAATACTGTGTTCAGAAATAATTTATATATATATTTTTATTTTACTCTCAGTTGGATACCATCTGAAGCAAAGAAAGATGGTGTTGAAGATGAAATTGCTAAATATGATGGGAAGTGGAAAGTTGAGGAACCGTCTAAGCAGTCCTTAGTTGGAGATCTGGGTCTAGTACTTAAGGTAAAAATTGTGTATATTTTATTCGTTTTGTCACAAATTTGGGATCCCCACTGTCCTAGGTGGAAGCTACCGGAGCCCAGCATACTGACGCTGGGGTACCTACGTGTACACAGTTGTGGTGACATTATCTCAACGTAGGTGCACATGTTCATTCCCTTTTGTCCTTAAAGTTGGATGTCATTTTGATGAATAAAATGAGGCGGCAGCCAAAAATGGCATCCAACTGTAAGCACAAAAGGGAAATGCCGCCTCATTTTTTTATTTTTTTATTTGATTTTTTTGTATTATTCATGGTTTGAATACTATCAGTGCCTTGAGACGATTCTGTTGCGCTCTACATATACATTACCATTTACTAAATGGATGTAGGACTTCCTGCATTTTTACATTCGTTTGAAATGTTAAATAATGACCACTGGGGCCATATTATTTATGGTTCAGAGTCATTTTCTTTTATTAACGAACCTTCTTGTTTCTTTTCAGTCTAAAGCAAAGCACCACGCTATTGCTACTAATCTAGATAAACCATTTGTCTTTGATGATCAACCATTTATTGTCCAGTAAGTATAATATGATCTTTTGATACAGTTAATATAATTTGATTTATCCATGTCCTCATGGTAAAATCCAAGGGCATATACCATTGATCACCTGAACAATAATCTGAATGACTTAGTTTTGAATCCTGTTATGACAATATGTTTTTTACTATATTTGTTTGTTTTAAAAATGATCGACAGTACCAACAATTAGACAATTATTTTGTCATTTGACTATTTTTCTACCAATTAGATATGAGGTCAAGTTCCAAAATGACCTAGATTGTGGTGGTGCTTACATTAAATTATTATCCAAAGATGATAGTCTAAAGCTGGTGAGTTTTCCATAATATTTTTTTATTGGCTCACAAATATATTAATGCTTTGATGTATTTTTAAAGAGTGCTTTCCAATGGTTGAATGTTATATAACTTGAAGCCTATATATTTACACACACTCACAAATAATTAAAATGTCTTCTATGCATGTCATGAGAAAGTAACTTTTACAATTACAGGAATTCCACCTCACTAAATTTTTGTCATTGTCATGTGTTATACATATCCTGTTTGTTGTACAGAAACAATGCATGTTTATCACTCACAATAAATAATCAAATAGCAAGGCTTGTGTCTTCAATTTCCTCCCAAACAAGAGAAAATTTGTCATTTAAGACACTGAAACCTATATTAATTGCAAAGCTGTCCCTTCTGACAAACCGCAAAATAGTTGTATTGTGAATGCAATTACATTAATTTATAATACGAGGCTTGGCATGCCAAAGCCAGCATTGGTGACCAGAAGAAGAAAATTTACTTTAATATATATTACTATTCTCCACAAAATAGGCTTTAAAAGGATAGGTCATTTACCGGAATTGACGTACTATTGTCAAAGTTATGAGTAAAAGTATTACAGCTTCTCTGTACTAAAGTATACAATAATTTAATAACAATGCTGGTTTTGTAATAAATGATATATATATAATGTATTATATATACTTTGTGTTCAATGGGATTGGCTTACCTAGATCACTATGGTAATATAAAAACACTACCACAAACGTTGTTAGGCTTATGTCTGTCCTTATTTGGCCCTGTTTTGTTTTTGCTCATAATATTGTCTATTGTCTTGGCAAATACAAGACACTCTGTGTTTAGACTACAAAATATATCATTGATTTATTATATATTTCAGAATGCTTTCACAGATAAAACATTTGTTATTATATATACTTTGTGTTCAATAGGATTGGCTTACCTAGATCACTATGGTAATATAAAAAGACTACCACAAACTTTGTTGGCCTTATGTCGGTCCTTATTTGGCCCGGTTGTGTTTTTGCTAATAATATTGTCTATTGTCTTGCAAATACAAGACAATCTGTGTTTAGACTACAAAATATATCATTGGTTTATTATATATTTCAGAATGCTTTCACAGATAAAACGCCTTACACCATTATGTTTGGGCCTGATAAATGCGGTGCTGATTCTAAGGTAAATATTCTTCATTTTGCATGTCAAATTTCAACATTTCATGGATGACTGCATGCTCAGTGAAATGTGCTTAGCAACCAATCTAAGAAATAAAAAATGTAATAAAATTGTAACTTGTAGTTTCAGATGATAAAATGAAAGATAGTATTAGAACAGCAGTATAAAGTGTTAATGTTGGTAATTTAGGCTTGACATATGGCTTATTTAAACCTTCTCAAACTTTCAACATGCGACACGGACTAGGTCAACATAAATATTTAATTTTATTAATTTGTTCTGTGGAGTGGTTACTTCTTTGCCTTTCAATTTTCCTATATATATTTTTTAAACTAAAAACAACTCTTATTAGACTTGGTATATAGAGAATCTTGCCCCATCATGTTAATGACAATTGTACTTGCTGTTAAGTCTGCAAATAAGTGTTAAAAATTTCTTTGTATTGAAAATAATTCAATTTTTGTTTTACTTCCATTTACAGTTTCATTTTATCTTCCGACACAAGAACCCTAAGACAGGCGAATTTGAGGTAAGAAACAATGTTTAATTATTATTATTATTATAATTGTTATATATTTTATTTCTGCAGAACTACGGATAACATAGTTAAAAGAAAAAGTTAATGAGATGTTGACATGTCAAGAAAATTTTTTACTAATGGTGTTCCATATATAGTGATAATGTGCCTATATATGGTGATGTTGTGATGTCATCACATCCATATTTAGGCATGTCACATGTTTTTGTTAATTAAAACTCAATACCTGATGAATAGCGCCCTCTATTGATTCTTTTTGTGTTTTGCACACATTCACTAATACAAGTAAAACAAATGCTGTTCTCTATTGACGATTAGGGTATAATTTTGCTGTTGTCTCTTAACTGATGCTTCTTTTATTTTATTGCAGGAGAAACATGCCAAAAAACCTAGTGGCTCATTTTCACATGTTTTTACTGATAAGAAAACTCATTTGTTCACCCTCGGTATGTTTTTACCTTTTTTCTATGAAACTTTATACTACTTATTCCAATATTGTCTGAATATTGTAAGGTTTTACACAGTTTTACACAAAGGCCTAAATTTTTTTTATGGTTGCGAATTTCAAAATTACATATCGTCTTAATCTTCACTTTCACAAAAAAAAAAAATTGAAAGAACTGCAGTCTATCTACTGTAATTGGAAAATTGAACAAACCGCATATGACAATTCTATTCGTTGGTTGTTTTTACATAACTTTATGTGTATAAAATGCATTTTTTAATGTATTATAATTAAAAATCAACAATAATTTTTGTAATAATGTAGTTTTCTTTAAATAATATTTCTCTTTTAATTAAATTATTGTAATTTTATGTAATTATTTAAACAATTTTATATATACATATTTTCACAATTTTTTTCTTTTTTAGTTTTGTAATTTTCATTTATTATGTTGTTGGTTAATCCTCTTGTAAACGTAATTCGTAATTCAGCCTTTTGGCGCCATGTTTTGTTTTTATGAACTTTGATTGCATAATAATATATAACTTCTGTTTTGTAGGTTCAACTGATTGAAAATTTACCTTTAACTTAATGCTTATTTTTTTTAGTTGTCGAACCTGATAATTCATTTGAGATGTTCATAGATCAGAAGAGCATGAACTCCGGTAATCTTCTTGAAGATGTCAAGTAAGTATTAAACATGTTCATCAATAGCGAATTTCTTGCCCACTCCCCTTTTCATTTTGTTGCATGTCTGTTATTTCACCTTATATGAGATTGATCAGAATGTATTACACAGGTTGTGGCTTGGACTCCCAACCTTGAGGTCGGGGGTTCAAAACTCTCTCTGTGCAAATTGCTTGTGTCCTTGGGCAAGGCACTTTATCTACGGATGCCTCTCTCCACCCAGGAGTACAAGTGGGTACCTGGTAGGTTCCAACACAACTGCGCTGATTACTAGCCGCAATATTATGGAATAATAATAGAATTTAATTTAATAATTTAATTTGGTGTTCAATGTGTTCCATATGGGTTTATTCCAATGACCGGGGTAGTAATGTGAAGGGCTTAAAGGCTTTGTAAAGGCATTAAGCTCTATATAAGAATGACATATTATTATTATTATTATTACATATTTCCTTCTGTTGTTTCTTTTCAGCCCACCTGTAAATCCGCCTGAGGAAATTCCTGATCCAAAAGACTCTAAACCAGAGGACTGGGATGATAGGAAGAAGTAAGTGTGATTATGAATATTTCAGAAGATGGTGGTGGTGATGGTGTTGGTAATGATGATGGTGGTGGTAATGGTGTTGGTGTTGGTGGTGGTGATGATGGTGGTGATGGTGTTGGTAGTGATGATGGTGGTGGTGATAGTGTTGGTAGTGGTGATGGTGTTAGGTAGTGATTATGGTGGTGGTAATACCAATGATGATGTTTATAGTGATGATGATACTGGTATTGGTGGTGATGATGATGGTATAGGTATTGATGAAGATGAGGATGGTACTGGTATTAATATGGATGAAGAAGAGGATGGTACTGGAATTAGTATTGATGATGATGATTATAATACTATTACATACAAATGCAGCCCTCCTCTTCTACTTTGAAACCTTTTCAACACTAAGCAACATAATTAGTTTGTTCAGCTTTTCTTTTTATTCTGTAATGCCTTGGCCTTTGTAACTTCTATGTTTAAATTATATGGGAGATCTTAATCCAGTGGTCACGATAGTACCGCCTAGTAATACAAGCAGCATGCCAGCAAACGACGTCTTCTTGGCACTAGATATATTTGGCCCTCCGCAAACAATGTCCATGTATCTGATATACTGACTGTATATTCAGTCTCTAAAAGGAGATGTCTGATTGATATCTGAAGCCATGATCATTTAAATTATATTAATTGTTTGCCAATTCCCGTAGGATTCCAGATCCTGATGCTACCAAGCCTGAGGATTGGGATGAGGACGCACCCAGGAAGATTCCAGACCCGGATGCAGTCAAGCCTGAAGGTTGGCTGGATGATGAACCAGAACTCATTCCAGATCCGGATAGTGAGAAACCTGAAGATTGGTAAGTCATGTGCTGCACCAGCCTATTCCTAGGCAGCTAATATAAGGGGAATATACTCTCTCCCCCCTCCCTTCCGCTCCCTTCCAACCTCCAGAATGTATCTTTATAATATATCTTTAATGAAATTATATCCCTTAGGCATCTAATAAAGGCCCTTCAACCCCCTCCCCCCACAATCCTTATTCCATGTGGAATTTATATTTGTATTGTGACAGTCGCTTCCTCTTATAGTTTTGTTTGGCAGTATAACTTTATAATATATCTTTAATGACATTATTGACAGTTGATAATGATTGTAATAATAAATATCAGTCAATGTTCATTATATCTTAAATTAAATTATTGAGTGTCAGTAAATGTTTTAATCATAAATATGTATTAATCTTATTCATTTTGTAGGGATGATGAAATGGATGGAGAATGGGAAGCACCCAAGATCAGTAAGTTGTATTTTTCACTTAATTTTATGTGCCATTTTCTTAAAATGATAGACAGGTGTCTTGCATACTAATATTGTGGGAGCAGTGGACGCAGCGGTTGTATCTCTGTCGTTGGTGGTGGTCCGAGTGAAACATCAGTAAAAACAATCTATTGCATACTCCTCGTCCTCTTGCGTTCCTCCATGGAATTGTGTCGGTCGACGACTGTATACCTAGCGTGTGCCCAACTTAATGAATATGCCTAACTAATAGCTAAGTCTGGGACTACCTGTATGTAATTATATTTATTATTTCAAAATTCTTATAGAAAATCCTCTATGTGAAGATATTGGATGTGGAGAATGGAAACCAGAGATGCTTGATAATCCAGACTTTAAGGGTAAATGGAAGGCACCGATGATTGACAATGAAGCATACAAAGGGGAGTGGTCTCCACGCATGATACCTAACCCAGACTACTTCCAAGATCTAGAGCCTTTCAAAATGACACCAATTGTAAGTAAACACTTTAGATCGGTTTTTCTATTTAATCATTAATTTTATCTGTAATATTATACAATAAGCATTATTGTGAATAAAATTGAATTGAAAAATTGAAACATTGAATTAATTTAATTCATTTATGCATTGTTGAAAAAATTCATCTATTCATACAATTGTTCATTCTTCCATTTATTCTTCTAATTGTTTATTAATATTAGATGTCATCATCACAACAATAATCTATAAAAATTACCTGCTATAAAATAGTTCTTACAGTTCCTTATTTATTATTATATTCTATAGAATATATTTAGTTTTGTTTTTTTTTAAATATATGTTCTATTTAAAGGTATATTTTCTTTGAAGTGCTCTTTTATGTTACAATTACTGTTTTCTTATCTCTTGAGGGCGCACTTGGCTTGGAACTGTGGACAATGAACAATGATATTGTATTTGATAATTTTATTGTGACATCATCGAAAGAAGTCGCTGACCAATGGGCTGCTGATTCATGGGCTCTCAAGAGCGGCGATGAGTCTTCCGTGTTATCAGGAGTAAGTACAAAAATAAAATAATTATTTAATATAAATTATATTAAAATTATAGCTGTTTATAAGTTGCAGTATCGGATTCGTCCAGGCCCTGCTGTGGACTAGACGTTTGTGGCAATCGGCAGCAACCTGGCAAAATGGCACCCCTTGGGGAGTAGAAAGGTGTAGGAATGGCCTTACCCTAGCCTGTCATAACCATTGTAAAAAGGTGCTATTTATAAAAATACTCAGAACACATGTAGAACATAGTCCAACTTTATAAGGAAAAACATGGATGTTTTTATATGTCTGAACCTTATAACTTCAAAAGTTGCATTCATAGGTTAGGTTAATATCCGGAAAGCATGCGTGTGAGAATGCCTGATCAGATGTACGCATTTCTAATTTTATATTGGCCAGTGATCCCACTGTCATCTTCTGGATTGGTGATTTTGTGTGTGGCCACAACAATGAGTGCGCAAGTTATTAATCTGGATCCTGCTAACGTTAGCTGGTGTGTGTGAACATACCCATGGAAACTTTCTCTAGTCAGTGGAGTTATCTTGGGAGGGGATACTTGCATGCTTGATTGGAAGTTTGGCACTTCAGCTTGAAGTAAGTACTTAGTAACTGATTGAAATGGACTGACATTTGAAATATTTTCAACAGGATGGAATGTTATCTGGTCTACTAAGCGCAACTGAAGAGAGGCCATGGTTATGGGCCGTCTATGCCCTCGTTGTCATCATTCCAATCTTCTTGTGTGCAAGGTTCTGTTCCCCATCTGTAAGTATCGTCTTTAAGTTCCGTCATCCTCTGCTTGGTCATGTATAATGGAACGTTAATTTCCTGCCTTCATAACCAGGTTTTACATAACGGCATGTTTGTCCCTATTTTAATATTACTCGTCACAATGATGCTGCGAGTTATGGGTTATTCTACCTTTACCTTTATTATCAACTCATTAAAATAATAATTCATAAAGATTATTAATGGTAGAACATAATTAATACAAGAAACAATTTTCAAAATATTTTGCCACTGTATTTTGGTGAACATGACATAATTAGCAATACCATATTCCTGTAGAATATAATTTATAATGCAGTGATATAGTCAATAAAATCATATTCTATTGCTTCTCATATCATTCTATTTGTCACCAACAGAAGAAGTCTGACTACAAGAAAACAGATGAGCCAACGGGGGATGATGAAGAAGAAACTCAAGATGATGAAGAAGAGGAAGAAGCAGATAAAGAAGAAGGTGATAATAAAGAAGAGACTGAAGAAGAGAAGAAGGAAAAGCCTGTACGGCAACGAAAAAAGAAAGCTAGTAAATCAGATCTAGAGACCAAGGTAGTTTGACATTCATTAATCAATCAATCAATCAATCACTTTGCAAGTTCTTTGCACCATTTGGTTTTGTTAGCTACTCTGCAGTGTTTTCAAGGTGCAGGGGAAGATTTTAGGGATCCAGGCTTCCCCCTCCCTTTTGGAAAGTTTTTAAAAAAAAGAAAGAAGGAAAAAGAAATTATTGATCTCCCAAAACGCCTATTTCCAGCAACTAGAAAACAAAAATTTCTCAGGGCCATTTAGGGTAGTGTTGTGTCTCAATGGCCCCACCCCCTTTTCGGAAATTTTATTGATCTACCCCTGGGGGCGATTTTTTTTTCCGTACGAAACATTTGCATGAAACTCTACTCGGGCCGTTTTGGATTGACTCGAATCGAAAATCTCAATTCTGGAGGTCAAAATGTCATCAACCAAAGATAAATGTCTACAAAACTTCTGAGATACAGCATTGTCGCTCGCTGTCTGATTTTGAAGAAAACATTGACGTTGAGATAGTATAATACATACTCCAAGTATCGGAATGCAGGCCATCGTGTCAGGATTCAATATTTCAACATTAATTATGTCATCATCAGGAATGAAAAATTATCCATATTTGCAAGTTTATATGCACAAGTACCAAAAGTGTTTGACCAATCAAAACATTTAGTAGATGACATAGTTATGAATAAACTAAAGATCAAAGCATCCTTACCCTACTGATCAAAGTTACCTACAAAAATCAATAAAGCTCCTTTCCTCCCTTGTACGGAAAAAAAAAATCACCCCCTGGTGTGCTGTAAACAACAAACAATATGCCAATCTTTTATAGCCAGCTAGACCTCTATTTATTTACTAATAAAGCAGAATGCAGCTATATTAAGTCCCTCTACATTATATTACAACCTAAACTATGACCTGTACACAACCGACATTGACTAGTACTGATCCAAATGAGGGAAATGGTGAAATCTATTGCCCTGAGGTGGTGTGGGATGTGGAGTCTGTAGCCTGTCTTTCTTAGGCCTGAGGGAAGATAGGCTACGCTCTTCACATCACCGAGGGGCTGTACATTTCACCGTTCCCCGAATCTAGAGAAGTCAATATTTGTTTTATATACTTCATACATAGATTCTATGAGTTGTGAAAAGTAACGAAAATAGTACTCACCAAGTAGGCCTTAGAATTACTTCCTAGGCCTAGGCGCGGAATCTTTCTGAACATCGTAGAAGTCGCGTTTCATTTACTGTTACATTGTTAGGCTGTGATAATGCGAAAGAGACTCTACCATTGTCTATATGCTTCATCATTGTTTAGTCTTTAATCAGTCATTCTAAAAGCTTATTTTCTTAATGAATTAATATTTTATGTTTGGCAGGAGGATACCACTGACGGAGCTGAGACACCAAAGGAGGGAGGGGATGGAGCTGTCAGGTGAGTAGTACTTAAACGCCAATCATATCTTGCTTAAATAATTGTATTTCTTCCCATCCCAAAATGGGAAATATGGATTATGCACCGGGAAACCTTATTGCAGCGCCTAACTTAGCCACTACATTAGAAACAATCCCCTACTGTTTCTGAACAGTGTTCTCTGTACATATGTCCTAATGTGCACACATTATTATTATTATTATTATTCTTTCTTTAGGCACACAACACATGTGCCAAGGATTGCCAATAGCGAATATATATCACTGTGCTACTTGTAGGTGACAATCCCTTACACAGGACAAACATGCACACACGATGCTTTACACAAACTAAATCTCAATATGAGATTTAGGGAGTGGAGTTGTTTATGTCGTGAGAAAAAAATCCTGCAACTGGTAGGAATTGAACCCTGGGATTGGAAGGCAAGCATCTTAACCACCAAGCTATTCAACTCCACTCAACACACATGACCAACTCCTTTATGTCCCATCTAAAGGATGCTGCTGCATAACATAATATTCAATTATCTTTTTTGTTTTTTCTTTATTTCAGGAAGTCACCAAGGAGAAAAACAGCCAAAGAATGAGCAACGTTCTAGTAGTAAGGCAAGCAATAAGGTCAAAGTTCAAGACAAGATGCGAATTGCATCGACTACAAGTCGGAAATCCCTACCGTCATGTTTTTGGTTTCTCTACAATTTCAGCAATTGTAGAAAAAATTTATAGATGTTGTTTTGGAATTACAGATGTCTGTAAAAAGATGGCGCCATTTACAACTAATGCATATTCATATATTAACTAATGCATATTATGTATCAACTAATGCATATTCATGTATAATCAAAATTCAGAGTTTTGCTTTTATTTCAGACAGATTGAGCATGGAAAGACTGCTCATGCCTTTGATAATAGTAAGAGTACCTGCACTCAGTAGATAGGATGTGAACATTTTGTAATTTGTTGTGGGAAATTTCCAGGAAGTAATGTTTGTTGGGTAATTAATGAGATTACAATCATAATAGAATTAAATGAATCAGTTAATATAGATTTTTCCAGAGCCATTTTTTTGTCTGTTGATGTTATCTGCCTTCAAATTCAAACCAACATTGTGTGTTTGATTCGGACATTGCCCACCAATTTGTGACTCGATTGATGGCTGTTGCATATATGCTTGTTTATTTATTCGTGCACCAAAGATCCCTGTTGCGTTTTTTCATTGTATGTACTAAACCATTATATATCTGTAAAAGTAAACTCCTATCTATCTTAATGATTTTTGTATTCGATTTTTTGTTTTTATTTTGCTATGAATGTATTGAAAACGCCAATTTATAAGTTTCAGCTTGATGACCGCCCTCACAGCAAATAGATAATAAGCCGAAGCTATAATGACTGCAGTTCTTCCGCGTAAAAATATTCAGCGTAAAAGTGGAAATTAAAATATCAGAAAACAGCAAATTATTCTCTTTTTTCGAAATGGATGTTTTACACTGATTTTACTCTGTGGTGGTGCTAATGGTAAAATTATTTTGCACTTGTGTTACGGAAATTAAATGCCGATGAACTTTTATGCAATGATTGATAATACGTAAATGATACTATAATCATATTAATGGTACCAGAAAAATATTACTTTCATTTCATGGTGCATATGATACAAATAAACATTTTTAATTAATATATTTTAAATGGTATTACAAACAACATTAATTATATTTGATTGTACTCTGCCACAGATAACCATTTTTATATTTGATTTTACTTGTACCACAAATCATTTTTATTCAATGGTACCACAACTAAACTTTACAATAATTATATTTTCCTACCACAAAGTAATCATTTTTTTTATTATGTAAATGGCTATCATAATAACTAATATTTTAATTGATGGTAGATACATTTTACTACCACAAATATTTTTTTTTTTCAATTGATGGTACCACAAATTATTTTTAAGGGTTATCTCAAGTTGAATATCGTAATATTTAGAAGTAGATTTTGTGTGAATTTAATCCATATTCTGTGATCTAAAGTGGTAGATAAAAATCAAATTGTTGGAATCAGAATGTTAATGATTTGCAGCATTGAGGAATACTATTACCGTATATTCTCGCGTATAGGCGATCAGCGTATAAGACGACCCCCGCCCCCTCCTAGTTCACCGTTAAAATTCCTACTTTTTGCTGCTATTTAAGGTCTTAATACAGCATCGAGCTGGCAGTCAAATGTTTGTCAAATCTTTTTTCCCCGCATCTAAAATTGCGTTCCTTCATATCAACAGTATTTTCATTTCATTAACAAATTTGCGTGTTACAGATGTTTCGCAAATATGATTAGTATGATGTAAAAATGAATAGAATTGTATGTATTGGCGTATAAGACGACCCCCTCCCCCCCTGTTTTTCGATCGTGATAATGCTGTTTTAAGCCTCGTCTTGTACGCAAGAATATACAGTAACTATCGTGATGTTATAAACAACATACTTTGGAATAGGAATACTGCATTAATGAAGAAGTGAAGATAATTGGCGTGTAGCTCTGTGTAATATTACTTATAGTAAAAAACAGTGGTTACAAATTGATCTATATCTATTGAAGAAATTTGTATGAATTTTAATTTACTCAATGTCTGATGAATTAAAACAACATTAATATTGTACTTTTTGTTAATACATATAGACCAAATTTAAAGGCAAAGCAAAGGAATGATTCTCTAAACGATTCCTTGGGTCTCGTCGTGTAGCCCGTCCTTTTCTGCATGTAAATATTACGTGTCCAGTGACATAGGAACACATTTTAAAAAGAAATTGAAAAAAAAAATATCTTTGATGTTTTTACAAGTATAAAATGATATGTGATGTTTGAATCTTATTATTAGTTGGTGTTCGGGTGAAATAGGCTTATAATTAGGGTGTCTTTAAGGTATTTGAGTTTGTTTATAGGTATTGATAGGATATTGTGATCTGCAAGAGTTAAATAAATTTAAAAACCACAAGGATTTTTTTCGTATTTATATTTTATGTAATATTAACGACGGTGACCTGTCCATGAGGCATAGTGGGGTGAAGCTGATCATTTGTAGTCCTCGATGTTCTTTTTTTTTTTACTCTAGGTATAAAGGGTGACCTTTCCAGCGCATCCTAGAAGGTCAGTTCATGTTCAGGCGCCCTCTACAATAAATTTAATAACAATATGCTTTTTATCAGCAGTCACTTTATGAGGCTTAAGGCCAACTCAGACAGCGTCGGCCGACGCAGCCCGACCCGATTTATCGTCGGGGACAGTCTTAAGCGGTCGTGAGAAATATTAAACACGTTTAATATTCTACTACGCGACTGCCCCCGACGCACACCATCGCGTCTGCGTTCAACTCACACAGACCCGACGCGACAACAAATCGCGTCGGGCTGCGTCGGCCGACGCTGTCTGAGTTGGCCTTTAGGGAATGGAGTTGTTTTTAGTCTTGAGAAAAAATCCTAATGTCACCGGAATTGAACCCAGAAGCCTGGGATGAGAAGGCAAGCATATTTACCACTAAGCTATTCAACTCCACTCATGTAAGGCCAAATAAATAAAAATACTAGTTTCTCGTCCCCTTGCGCATCCATTGAGGGTGGAAAAATTGAGAATGCAGAACCATATTCGAATGAAAACTTAAAATTCCTACATAAATTTTAAAAGGACCCCCTCAATCATGTGTGACCGTCCTACCTACCTGGCGTCCTATGTTTTCTGCATACAAAGATTTGGCCAAATTGCGTTCCAGAATCTGCTCGATGAGGTGACTTGCGTTCTCGCATGCGCAGATGACTTTTAGTGACGTTATTATACTCTATGTCCTATAGCCGTCGTGCAATCGAAAGCTTCTTAAGTTTTAGAGGTCATAACTATTGATTATATTCATTACAATTTACCTATTACGTGAGACCAAACACTGCAAGCAGGATGATATTTTAAAAACTTTTTTACACAAAAAAAAGGGGAAAAAAAGTCATGATCAGCTTCGTATCTGTTTAATACATTGAAGGCTGTTTCCTTTCATTTACACATACTTCGTACCACGGTACGATGCACTAAAATATTTTTTGAAAGCATAGCATATTTCTAAAGCAATTGAAATATCGACAGGCATGTTTTTGTTTTGGTCCAACTATTGTGCACGTTTTTTAATCATGTTAGGTCTTTACGCTTCATGAATACGTTTTAGATTTATTTCACTACAAGTAGGTCGATAATTGTTCTATTGTCAATATTATACTTTATCAGAGACCCATGAAATACACAATAGGCCCTAAACAATAAAATATAGGCCTATATGACTTGACCTTGTATATTTTTTCTGCCGTACCGGTATCTACTACTGGTTTTTAAAAAAAATTCAGAATGTATGAATAATTTCGCCTAAAGTAGACCCCACCAAAGCTGACGTGTCTGTGGGTCTGATCAGGTGCCTTTTAGGGCCCTTCAATAGACAGTGGCGGCTCTAAGATATATTTTCTGGGGGTGCTAAGCTGTCCGACAGGGGGGAACTTGAGCTCGTAGTCTCAAGCTGGGAGAGGGTTTGAGAGGGGGTTCTTCCTCCCAAATGAGATTGGCACTCTCAGACTGTGACAAACATGATTGTGTTGGCTTGGTGTGGTCCTATTTTTATATTTTACGAGCGGTGGCCTAGGCCCCCTAGAAGGCCTCTCGAGCAACTCTTCATATTTTTAGTCTGGAATGGAAATTTAAATCAAATCAACTTTAGTCTCACGATGAATCTATGAATGTATACGTTGTTATAGTATCTTCTATGCTAACTTCATTACATTTCATTCATTAGCATAGCTCTTTGGCCAATGTTTACAAATTTATACACACACTCGGCGAAATCGCGGTGACATCATCTTTGGTTACTAATATTCGGTTAATATTTTATTTAATTTTATTTATTTATTGATTTTATTTATTGATTTATTTATTTTTTATTTTTTTATTTTTTTTTATTTATTTATTTTTTTTTTACCTCTTCTCAATATTTCTCTTTTTGGATTGGGTTTTCCCAGATGTGCCATAGTACTGTACAGGAAAATAAGTCTGTATTTGTATTTATTTACTTTAAGTAGTTTAATTTAAGTTTCATTGTTATGATAAGAAGGGGCTTTCAAATTTTGTGCTTGTGCTTTTATATTTTTTTAATGTAACTTCTTTTGTAAATTTGTTGGTCTTGAACGCACCGTCAATTGACGAGTGCCACTGTAACAAAAGTGTAAGTTCAATAAATTATTATTATCTTCGCTAATCGCGGCTGCACCCATTCACTATCAAGTGTATAATAGCTGCGAGTTGATATGACGTCGTCATACTCATGTATAGTGTGATTATGTCGTCGTCATACTCATAGTGTGATATAACGTCGTCATGTCCATATATGAGTGTGATATAGCGTTATATTCATATCATCATTTTCTGGTACTATACTTTACATAACCTCTATTAGTTGTATACTATTAGTGCTACAGTTGGCAACCCATGGGTCACGACAGGTGTCTATAAAACGAAGAGCCAAAAAACGGAAGACTCCTATTTTTTCTCTTTTATTTAAATGAGAATACACCAAGCTGTCACAAAAAGGATTATTTAGATGTCTGTTTTCAAGGATCTTCGTTTGGACACCATATATGAGTGTCTACAAAACGAAGACTGAAGACCTGCAAAACGAAGACCTCCGATTATTTCACAATTATTTCAAAATCATCATAAAATTATTGCTAAGTACCTCTTTCATCGGAATAAAAAATATATCAAGAAATAACTAAGGGCTTTATAGACACCCTATATCAGTGTCTACAAAACTAAGACCACATTTTTTTCTCTTTAATTTTTATGTAAATAAATCAGACTACTGTATCACACAAAATCAAAATTACGAGATTATTTGGACGTCTGCTTGTGAAATTATCAAAATTCTTCGTTTTATAGACACCCTATATAACGTAAAGTTGTAAATGGTTAGTGAACAATGTACAGTATTGAAATTGTTTATTCAGACAACAAATGACCACAACAAATATAACTTCTTTTTCTATATAATTCCTGATATTTTAGACTATAAAACTCACTGATTGTGCGTTTATATATGCGCAGTGTTGTATTTGACGAGTAGTACTACTCTATTTTATTATTATTTAAAAAAAATAATATCAACGCGCTATAGGCCTACATATAAACCCCATTTTTACAAAGATAAAACTAAATACAGTAAAAAGTCAATCAAAAAGAATGCAAATACAAATTACAAATCAATACAAATTTTTCAACAAAATGCCACGAAAAAAATAGCAACAATAAAACACAAGTGTACAAGAAAGATTTATGAATCAGTCAAGTATAGATAAAACAATCATGAAAACTACTCCAACATACTACTTTTCTCGCCTCCCCTCTCTTGGAGGTGCGATTTTCTCCTGTTGTACTGTACCTTTTGTAAATGTGTACTTGTCGAATAAATGAATGAATGAATGAATGAATGCTCTGCCTCTCAACGCTCCGAGATTTCACTACCAAATGTGGTTTTCTATGTAAAGCCGATGCTCGTGTGAGTTCAGGTCCAATGTGGACTCGAGGCGGTAATGCAATCCTGCACATGACTGACGCTGCGCGTCTTAAACTCCGGTTGTGGATCTTCCCTAACATTCGTCCTTAGGAGGTAAGTTTTACCAAACAGAACCAGAACCACACTACTTTAGATATAAATCTACTTTATGATACTAGTGTCGTAGCGTTGGGATTTAAAAAAAAAAAAGTTGGCACCCCATGCTTTGTTCAAACCTTCTATTAGCAAAGATTTTTTTTCTTGCTTGCTCTAAGCTCTATTGTTCACTCTATTTTTCAATACAAGGGTTTTTTTTAATGAAATAATTATGATGTGGGACAAATTAATGTTGCTGATGATGATGATGTCCCAGATGGGGATAATAATAATGGTGGTCAATTTAATGACGGTATTCATGATGATAAAGAAAAAATCAATACTTTCTGCTGCAATTCCCTTAAGTTAGGTGGGACTTTTTTTACACCTTTTAGCAACCCGCCGCCCGCCAATAATAATGATTTAGAATGAAATTAGAATTCATTTTTTGCCGATTAGCCCACCGCCGCCATAAAAAATAGAAATTTCAGAAAAAAATAAATGTTTTTTCTAATTTTTTTTACGCCTTGAAAAATAAGATAGGCCTATGTATATTTTTCCTAATTATATAAATTTAAAGCATTTAACAATCCCATTACTACACTGTTTACATTTACTAATAGTAATTTATGTTGTCCTCCGTCTGAATGTTTTGGCAAAACTATTTGCTAAATAAGAAAACAAAATGTTATTTTTTTCCGCTCTCCTCTGACAATCATTAAAAATATAAGTTCACGAAACAAGGTATACAAAATTCTCACCTTAAATAAATGTAATACTGCAAACAACTATAATTATTACTACTACCACAACTAAATATTTAAAATATCTAACACATTCTGGGGTTAAATGTTTTTTGCACATAGTATATAAGCTTCTATTTAAGCCCCTGATTTGACAGGGCCCAGGGGCGGCGCCAGGAATTCCACTACGCGGGGTCCAAGCTCCCTGACAAGGGGGTCTGTGAAAATTAGATCTGTCGGGAATTTTTTTTCTTATTACAAGATAATGAAATGTTGTATTAATTATGTGATTCTTTTTTTAAAAAGGATAATTTCGGCGCCCGAGGTTTGATCTTTCCACGACAAACTGGATGGGAATTCCCCGAAAGGTGGGTCCAAGCGGGAGGTCCAGAGATCCCCGACGGCGGGTCCTTTGCTCCTCTGGATCTTCCGCTAGCGCCTCCCCCGGCAGAGCCACTTTTTGCGTTAATTTATAACATACAAACACAAACAAAATTGCTATAATGCTGCAAGAAATTACAACTGAAAGAGCAATAATGATAGCTTTAGCACCACCAGATCCTTTGCCTCCGTTACCATCAGTGTCAAGTAATAGTGTGGTGTCTCCAACTGTTGGTGATTGTGTGGCTTCACTATTTGTAAGCTTACTGGAGACTGTTGGTGGTGGTGGTGGTGGTGTTGGTGTGGCTTCAGTAGTTGCACGCATACTGGAGACTGTTGGTGGTGTTGTTGATGTGGCTGCAGTAGTTGTAAGTTTACGGGTAGTTGAATAATTTACGCCGCAATCTACAGTCGTTGAAGTTATATTCAAGATTATACTAAGATGAACGCAAATAAATGTGCAAAAGGACAGCCGAATGTATTCCATTTTCCTAAAAAAGGAAATAATGAAATATACAAAAATGAAGAGAACTTTTGCATAAAAGGTAAGTTTCAAATTGTTTGATTGATAGTTACAAAAAATAAACAAAAATAATTGTCATATAACTCAATTAGATCTAGTGCGTCAAGGCAGCTAATTAATATTATTAGGGATTATAAACAATAATAAATAATATATATCTTTTATAAGCAATACTCTACAAAATTGATGTTATTTCATCAAGCCCAGTATTTTTCACAAATGAATAAGCTTAACTACCGGTTAACTAACATGTTAAAAACATGTGCGCAACACCAAACATAACATAAACATATATAATAAGTCTAGCGACATAAAAATGACTATACTTTTAATAAGCATCTGTTCGAGAATGGTTGTTCTGGTTCTAGAATTTGGCGCAAACCTTGCAAATGGTTTATAAGAAATTAAGCGATAAATATGAATGAATGTACACCAAGTCTTTTTACACAGTGTATGTGCTGAACAAACATTATAATACAGTATATACATTACAGTATTAGTAATAGCAATAATCATTTTACAAATGCTCTGCTAAAAGTGCGCATTAAGGATGTTTTGCTACCAAATCTCACTTTCGGTTGCACAAGATTTTCTTAGTGAATTATTTTACGATACAAAAAGTGCGCAATATAATGTTTAAATATGAACAAAAATACCGCAGTGACACTGCAACAACAAATTACATAGGCGTGCTTCTCTTTTTACCAATTTTCTCCATGCATAGTGGTAAAAAGTAATTGCACCTATTCTTCGTATAGTACGCTATTTTTATTATTATATTTGATTAGCATGAATTTTTCTTATTATTTACCTTTGGTTTGTGTCCCCTCTGAAAGCTGACTTTGGTATCAAATTCTTGCACTTTTGCTTTCTTTGTAAATTTATATATATAATTTTCCAACTTCAGTATGAAACTGTCCAACGTTATGCAGTGTCGTAGAACAGAGATATGCCATCTGTTTGTTATACTTTGACTATTTGCTCTTAAACATGCATACTTTTTCATTTGGTTTCTGTAATGACTTAGGCATAATACATGTAAAATTGGATATGTTACGGAGCATGAATGCAAATAGTTAAAATGAACAATATATTGCTACTACAGTATTCAGACAGCACATGACCACAAAAATGTCTTTGTTATGATAGTTCTATTATCGGATACAATGACTGGCTGGTTGTGTGTTTATATATACGCAGCGCTTTGATACGAATTTATTGTGTGATACCAATGACCCTTAAAAACCTTTTTTTTTTTTAACAAATGATAACAAAAAAAAAACATAACTATTTTATAATTTATGTTACTTGAATTAAACTTATTGATTGTGTGTTTGTATATACACTACACATTATTATATTTTAACGTGTCGTACTACTCTATTTTATTATTATATAAAAAGCATTTATATAGCCCCTTTTCAAAAAAGATCAAAGCGCTATACATATAAATCCCATTTTACAGACATAAAACTAAATACAGTAAAAAAAACAAATCGATCAATAAAAATGGCAAATACAAATTACAACATAAATAAAATTTCCAAAAAAATGCCATTAACGCAATAAAACATAAGTGTATAAGGAAGATATAAAAATCATGAATCAGTCAAGTATAGATAAAAACAATTAAAAAAATACTCATTCTACTTTTCTCGCCTCTTCTCTTGAACGTGCAATTTTCGGATACTCTACCTCTAAACGGGTCGTGATAAAGTGCGAGCCAGCGAGTCATGCGAGTCGTGCAAGTCATGCGAGCCAAGCGCGAGCCATACATTTTTTTATATTTTTTTTTTATCTGTAATTATTTTTATTAACACGTACCGGTACTATTGTATTTGTTTATTATTACATAAACAGTTAATTACTTTCGTAAATTTCTATAGGGGAATATTCCACCGCGGTAGTAATGGTATAATTGAAGCATTGTGATTGACTATATTATGTTCATGTTGAAGGAGGAGGACGACGTGGACGGTATGCAGGTTTTGCCTTCGCTGGTGAAGTACATTAATATATAATGCATTATATTAATAATGATAAAAAAAAATATGGGTGCGGCACAAAAGCGCTTCGCATGTCTTTTGGAGGCGAGCGGACGAGGCTTAACACTAAAAACCGACCGGGTATTGACAAATTGTGAGTCAGCGAGGCATGCGATTCAGGCAAGCCATCTGCCATCGTGACCACGTCAATTCATGCGAGGCAGGACGAAGTATAGCTGCAGTATACCAAAAGTGCGAGGCACCTTAAAACACGCTATAAATCTGTAAAAAGTGACAATGACAATATTTTAATATAAATTATGATGTTCATATGACTTTCTCATCGAGTAGCCTAATACTAAAATCAAACCATTTCCTTCAATCAAAAAGTGACTTAAATCAACCCGGCCCGATCATATCCCTGGCTTGAGTCTAATATTAGGAGTCGCGACGAAGCCTCGCCAACCTCGAAACCAACAGGAACAGGAGAGGTTGAAAACGAAGAGGGGTTTGGATTCTGAAAGACGATTCGTAAACACCTGTATGTGAAATCACGTTCGATGTTATTTACGGTTCCTAGACTTATTATGATAGATTAATAATTAAAATAATAAATGATTAGAATACTAAAATAGTATAGGTTATTCTATACTTGTGAGTATTACCGAGAGGATGGGCAGGGGGAAGATCCCCGGGGCCGAAGCTTACCAGGGGCCCATACAAATTGCAGGTAGAATTTTTTTTCCATATTTATTTTTTTTAAATATTAATTACTATGATATAGGCCCTCAATAATGGCATGGGTTCCCTAATAATTGGCCCCTCTAGATTGACAGCCCCCCCCCACCCTCAAAAATGTTTGCGCCTTGGCGCAATCTTCTCGCGTCGAGCTCGTAACTGGGGCCCGCAGCCACCCTTACTCCAGTTACAGTTTCCCCTCTTGGCGGCCCTGACCACTGAACTACTGTACAGGCTCCCTAAAATGTGCCACACATAGCTCCATCATCCTCTCCTATCATTTCACCACACCTTGAATGCATTGATTGCTATTAATTGATTGCTAATCAATACCTTTAGTTTGATACTATTTGGCATTTACAGTCAGATAATTAAGAAAAATGTATATATATTACAATAATTATAATATACCCAGCACACAGGAGCATTATTGTTCAGATGGTTTTTGAAGAGCCAGTGATTACTGGTAAATGTAGTCCACATAGATGTTAAAATGTGTTTTTGTATGGCTTATAAATTCCCAATTAGCAGTTACAGTAATTTAATTCCACTCGGGTAAAGCATTGATAATTAATTCAATGTTGAAAATGATGTTGCTTCTATTTCATCCGTCCATAGTTACTAGAGACAATTCGAAGAAAAATAAAACGCTCCGGAGCGTTTATTCCTAATGGCCTTTTATTGGGGAAGGGGGGGGGGTGGCGTTTATTTGAGGGGCGTTTGTTCAAAGCAGGGCATTTATTTTAGAAAATACTTGAAATTATTGTTATTTAAAACACGATGGATCACATGATGTTAGCCCATAAATTAATTATTATTAGTCTTTTATGCATTCTAAATTATGATATTTACCCTTTTTAAATTGTGTTTGGTTTCATGTTTTTTAAGTCTTTTATGCATTTTAAATTATGACATTTACCCTTTTTAAATTGTGTTTGGTTTCATGTTTTTTAATTGTCTTTGTTTGTTATGTGAAAAGTTTTGTGAAAAATAAATAAGGTCCTCCCTCTATGCATGGGGCGAATATGCAGTGTGAGTGAAATGATTATTACATAGCCTATTTCATAGTTATATAGTCAAAAAAATATGTTGAAAATAGTTATTATCATTTAATTATTGTAATTGTTTTATAAATTGCACAAGTTTTTATTAGCGTAGACTTTTTGTGTGCCTTGCCTGACTTGCACTGTTGGTACACGTCCCGCAAGAATTACCTTCATGGCTCGCATTAGACTTGGTTCCAGTCACTAATCTTTGTCTTAATCAGTTAAAATGCTTAAGAATAAATCGATTTTGGCACCAATGGCGTTCCACATTACTAATTTGCATGGCGTTCCATAGTATACTTTGTCTGGGATTAGGAAATCTAATTCGCGTCAAAAAGTTTCTCGACATAAACTGACGCTGGTGGAGCTTTCCGAAATTTGCTAATACTACTTCCGTACTCGCGCGAATAAGCGCCCCGTTTGAATAAACGCCCCTTCAATAACCCAATCAATCCTGGGACTGTGGATGTTGGCATGATTTGAGGTGTGAAGTGGAATCACATTCTCCTTTAGTCAATAAAAATGAGGATATTTATCTTTGACAGAATGATGAGAGCTCCCTGGACAGACAGTATATTTCCAACTTTCATCTTCTTTCATTTGTCTATATCCTAGTCCTACTACTCCTTTCCGACAATTTGCACCTTTAACACATTCTCGTTTAAGTTTTCAAGAAAACCTGCACATGCCGTTCTGCTATTCTCAATCGACCGATGGCGAACAAGCTAACCACCGCCACTGCACTAATTTCATCTGCTTCTGTATACTGGGTTCCAGTCCCTAATCTTTGTCTTAATCAGTTGAAATGCTTAAGAATAAATCGATTTTGGCACAAAAGGCGTTCCATATTACCTATTTGCATGGCATTCCATAGTATACTTTTTCTGGAATTCTCATCAAAAAAGTTGCTCAACATAAACTGACGCTGGTGGCGCATTCCGAAATGCGCTAATACTACGAAAAATCCATAAATTAGAGACTTGTGGCAAGTCTACTGCTTCTGCTGTTAATACTGTACTCACAACATTCTTGTCATGACAAGCCATGCTCTCTGGACGATTACCTTTTCCGCCGCAGCACCATTCGTAATTTGCGGTTTCCTGATGTCCTTATTTAATCGTTTTTTCATTCAAAATGTGCCTCTTGGATAAGTTCTCATAAGAACCCCTCGATTTTCATCTATTTCCATAAGCGCCCCCTCAATTTTCACTCTGTTTTTATAAGCGCCCCGTTCGAATAAGCGCCCCATTTGAATAAGCGCCCCTCAAAAAGTCCAAAAAATATTTTAAGCGCCCGGGCGCTTATTCGCGCGAGTACGGTACTCGCTGACTCGCTGGTCGCACTTTGGCAACCCTCCTTCTAAACCCTCCTAGATTTCACTACAAAGAGGTGACGGAAATTGGGGTTGCTGTGTTATGGAGAGTATAGCCTGGGTTCCAGGCCCTAATTTTAGGTTACTCACTCTTTATTGCACTTAGTGCGCGCCATACCTAATTTAATTGGCGTCCCATACTCGATTTCTTTTTTTTCGAATTTTTTTTCCGTCTATAAATTAACTTTCTCGTTGGTGGCGCTGTCCAGAATGAGAAAAATAATAAAAAATAAGAGACTTGTGGCAAGTCTATGGAGAGTAATGTGTGACGGAAATGGTCTGCAGTCAGTTGGTTGTTACCATGCGCCAGTGATGTTGGAGTCACAGGACA